CATGGTATATGGAGTATGGGTTGACCCGCAAGTAGTATATTATCACATTTATTTTGCCTTATAGGATTTCTTTTTGCTGGATGTCTTCGGGTTCGATAAAATAATTGGATTGTCATTGGATTATTTAATTATATCTTGAATAATCTTATCGTGACAACCAAACAAGGCATAAATTTTACTCCACTTATTGGAAGCTGTCTCACCTTTCAAAGTCCCTTCACGTCTGACTTGTCCTCCTCTTCTATTTCCCAACTTCGTTTTCTATCTTTGAAAGAGAAAAAAAAAACTTTATTCTCTTGCATAGTCACACTAATAGCGATTAAATTGGCATCCACCGGCGATCAATTAACGTTTGACGTCTTCTCTCTCATCATGATTATTATGATGAATATTAATTAGAAGTTCATTGTTTAAATTTCATAACCGACTTGATACTCATGTTTCTCTGATTTTTATAGCAATTTTTAGCTTTCACGATTCGCCTCGGTGTTATCTCCTGAAAATGGAGGAAAAATAAAATTCATATCAAATTTTCGTTTTAAATTTCTTTGATAGCAAATTTTTTTTTTCGAGAGCTCTGCCTCCGAATCCCCGATGTGTTTAGGCCCCCTCACAAAATTTTCTGGCATGCCACTTGTAGTCACGTCTCAAGGTTTTCAAAGAAGGCCCACATGTTTAAGGCCCAAAGAAGAGACGTACACACCACGATCTTTAGAGCGCGTGACAAACATCAACCTCAACAAAACAAAAACATGAGTCAACGCCAACAAAGCAGATGAGGAACAACAAGTACTGAAATCCACCCAAACAAAACCCAAATTCGCCTGTAAAAAGCAAAAAAAAAAAAAAGAAAAACAATGGGAGCTTTCTCAACACTTTCACCACCGAAACCATGTCTCCCCCACAACAACAACAATCCCCGATTCCCAAATCAACCCACCAAAACCCCATCCGTCAATTTCGCCCCCCATCTCCCAACACCATCAAAACCAAACCCCTTCTCCCGCCTCGCCCTAGAGTCGTCTTCGCCGCCGAACCACGCGCCGCCGCCGCTAGTGGTGGTGGGATCCGCCAATGCGGATATCTACGTCGAGATCGACAGATTGCCTAAAGAGGGCGAGACCATATCCGCCAAGAACGGGCAGACATTGGCGGGCGGGAAGGGGGCGAACCAAGCAGTCTGCGGCGGGAAATTAGCGTACCCGACTTACTTTCTGGGGCAGGTGGGAGAAGAAAACACAAGAAGCTGATCACGGCGGCGCTGGAGGGCGGCGGGGTGTTTCTCAATCACTTGAATTCCGTGGCGGGTGCTCCCACCGGCCATGCCGTTGTGATGCTGCAGTCCGATGGGCAGAACTCAATTATCATCGTTGGAGGTGCTAACATGTCTTGCTGGCCGGAGAATTTGCGCCGGGAGGATTTGGAGGTTGTGCAGAGCGCTGGGATTGTTTTGCTTCAGAGGGAGATTCCTGATTCTGTTAACATCCAGGTTGCCAAGGTGAGAGCTTTAACATCGGGTTTTTCGTTGCGTGTTTTCCAATTTGAATTTGACGATGGTGTGATTTAGAATCGGGGCATTTTGTATAGAAGCCTTATCGTATAGTTGTTATTATGAACTGCAGTCTTGATTTTGAATGATTTATTTCTTTGCGCTTTGTTTTGGAGTTTTCGGGTTTTAGCTTCTTTTCTTCGTTTAGTTATTTAGCCGACCGTGTGGTTGCTGGTTTATTGGAAGTAGGTTTGGATGACGTCCTCGCAATCGATGAGGATAGTTCGACCTGCTTCTCGTATATTTCTTCGTTACCTAAGTTATGTCAACATATCAAATTAGAAAAACTTCGTTGTTTCTTAAGAAAGAAACAAGAAGCTCGTATGGATATTGGATTTGTTGGAAGAGAAGCGGTTGTTATCAGCAATTTTCCCCTAACCATGCAAAATGGTTGGTTGGTTCTTGTTTTGGAGTTGCTGATATCTTCGTTCTTTAGAAAATCTATAGTTTTTAAGTTGATGAATAGGTATTGAGTTAAAAATTTGGGAATTCGGCTTCTTTATTTCTTGGAGATTAATATAGATACGGTGAGGATTGTGACTCCGTGGTTCAGGACCTTGTATTTATACCAGGGGTAGATTACGGCCGCCCCTGAGCTATGGTCAAATTACGAAAAAACCCCTCTTGTTTGGATAATTACAATTATCCCCTCAACTATGAATCTACTTACACGTCCACACTTATGGTGTCAAATTCAAACATAATCTTCTAATTTCGTGGAATATTCTCTAGTTTGTACCCGTTTTGTGCAAAAATGCAGTTTCAGATGCACCACAATCACAATCTGATATTTACAAGCTAAGAGACACATCTTATGATCATCTTGTTTCAAAATGTGGAGCTCGAATGGGTATAACGGGTACAAACTGGAAAATATTCCACATAATTTAGAAGATTTCACTTAATTTGACATCGCAAGGGTGGACGTGTAAGAAGATTCATAGTTGAGGGGTGGTTGTAATTGCCCAAACATGAGGGAGTTTTTTCGTAATTTGACCTTACCTCAGGGGTGGTTGTAATTACCCTCTATACTAGAGATGAATGCATCAGAATGGAATTTAGATGCCAAATGACAATTTTGGGCAGTTTAAAAATACTGCAAAGAGAAGCCTTCATAACAATATATTTAAGACTATACAGTCCTGCATATATATTTTTTCTTTTGAACATGTACATAATTCGTT